TAGTTGGGAGGGATGAGGCACAGGCAGCATCTGTGGCCATGGTCCCCAGTAGGGGCTGGAACCTGAGCTACAGCAGCTCCCTGTCTCCCTACCTTCCTTGTATGTGATTCTAAGATGAGGAGTTTTTCTGCATGATAAATGGGGGGGAAACCTTGTCTTAAAATTGAGTAAATACAGAAACACACAGTTGACAACATACCCCAAAAAGTGTTAGATTTCATTTGCTTATTGTATTAGTCAGAGGTGTCAAACTCACCAGAGCTGCTGGCATGGATCCCAGCCACTGACGTCCCCAACAAGGCTCTGTAGCTGGAAATTGGGCAGACGGGCTGAATTTCCAGCCAGATCTTTCATCCCCCTAGTCTAGATAATAGTTTGCTAGAGATCCTTCCTATAAAATATTTCAGTGTTCTCCATAACAGACATTCACCTTATGAATAAATGGATTCAATAGTAAAACTTGCAATATTTGCAAAATATACTTTACAAATTAATTCATTTTCATATATGTTAGGGTGAATCTTAACGTCCTATTTTAAGATCATAGGAATACAGGGCTAAGAAGGCCTTCATGAGGTCATCCAGTCTAGGCCCCTGCTCAAGGCAGGATCTTCCTTGACTGAACCCAGTCAAGTGTCTGTTTGAACTGCTTTTGAAAATTTCTAGGAATGGAGATTCCATGACTTCTCTCAGTAGCCTGTTCCAAGGCTTGACCACCCTCACAGTCAGAGAGTTCCTCCTAATATCCAGCCTAAATTTCCCCTGCTGCAGCTTGAGTCCATTACTTCTAGTCCTGTCTTGTCCCATACAACTTCTGAGAAAAGCCCATCTCTATCTTCTCTGCAATTGCCCTTCAGATATTTAAAAACTGTTATCAAATTCCCCCTCAATCTTAACTTCTCCAAACTAAATAACCCTAGTTATTTGAGATTTTTCCTTATAAATGTTGCCTCTGAGGCCTCTAATCCTTTTTGTTGCTCTCCTTCCAATCTGTCCATGTTTCTTGAAGTGTGGAGCCCAAAACTGGAGATAGTACCCCACATAAGGCTTATCAGTGCTGAACAGAGTAGAAGAATCATTTCCCTTGATTTGCAAGTGACACTTCTGTTAACATCCAGGATGCTGTTTGGTTTTTGAAACAAGAGTACACTGTTGTCTTGTATTCAGCTTGTGGTCTACTGTAACCTGCAGGTCTTTCTCTGCAGTACTGCAGCCTAGCCACTCAATCCCCAGTGTGCATTTGTGAATGCAATTATTCCATCCCTAGTGCAGGACTTTGTATTTGTCTGTGTTGAATCTCATCTGATCAATTGCAGACCATTTTTCTAATTCTTCCAGGTCATTCTGGATCATAGGCCTCCAGAGTGTCTACAACTCTACCCAACTTGGTGTTGTCTGCAAATTTGTTAAGCATGCACTCAATCCCATCATCTAAATCATTATTGAAAATATTAAACAATACTGGACACAAGATAGACCCCTGAAGAATCCCACTTGATACCTCCTCCTTGATACCTTACTAGACAGTAAGTCATTGGTGACCTGTTCATTGAGTACAATGATCCAACCAGTTATGTACCTTAGAGTACTTTGGTCTAGTCTGTATGTCCTTAGTTTGTGAATGAGAATGTCAGGAGGGACAGCGTTAAAAAGTTTTGCTAAATTATCACATCTACCGCTCTGCCCCCATCTACAGTCTGTCACCTTATATAAGTAAATCAGGTTGGTCAGCATGACTTGTTAGTAAAGCTGGCTGCATGTTGGCAGTTTCTGGTCACCTTGTTCTTTTCCAGGTGTTTTGCATTAGATTTCTTGAGGACCTGCTTCACAATCTTTCCAAGAGTAGAAGTCAGGCGGACTTGTCTTTATTTCCCTGGATCCTCCTTCCCTTTCTTAACATTGGGAACTACAGTTGCCCTTTTTCCAATAATTTGGGACCTCATCCAACCTCCACGAATTCTCAAAGAGGATAGCCAATGGCTCTAAAATTACCCCAGCCAGGTCCTTCAGGTCCTTGGGTGCATCCCATCCAGCCCTATTGCTTTAAAGCATCTAACTTCTCTAAGTTATCTATAGCCTGTTCTTCCGCCACTGTAGGCTGTTTGTCTATTTTCCTGTCTCTGCTTCTGACTGCACTCGTCATATAGTTGCTGCCCTTATTTGGGAAGCATGAAATAAAAAAGGCATTAATATTTCAGGTTTCTAGGCATCGTCCATTTTCTTCTGTTTAGAGACCTCCAGAGCAATTCAGATATTAGATTGTTATTCATAGGGTTTAAAATTTAAACATTGTTAGTGAATATAATTATACATACTTGAACAGCTAAGAGAATTCCTCCCATACTAACTAGTTTGGGTTACATATTTATTAAATGTATATTAACTTTTACCAGCTAATTAAATTTGAAATTGTTATATCTTGTAAACACATAGCCTTTTTCTCCTTTAGCCTGTAATTCTTTTGTGTGTTTTCCCAGAAATCAAGCTTTTTCATCCTATGAAAATGTACAAGAACCTCATTTTTCTTCTTCTCCTTCACGTCACAGAGATTATGGATCAGATAATGATGATTTCAGTAGATGTTACAGGTAAATTTTATAGTTCATGTATTTCACATCTATCTGCAGGCTTCTTAACCCATTATCCCCCTGCCATGAAGATCATGAAATATAAATTATCTATATCATGTAAACTTGCTGTTAATGTTTTTAGTTGATTGTAGCTTATAATAGAAAGGTATTTTGAAGCTCACGCATGCATATAATTATATCTGATAACGGAAAAGGTTTTTATAATGCAGTATATTCGCTGCCAGAATTTTAAATACCTGAGCTAATTAAATATCCTGACCCTCAGCTCACAAGCAGTAATGGCACTTACTGCTGATTCTGTTATTGGGTATCATAGGGCAATTGTTGTTCCTAATATTTCTGGTTAATAAATCATTCTCTCTAAAAACATAAATTTATGTAAATTGTCTTATGCTAGCATTCTAATTTTTTTATGATGGGCATCAAATTTAAAGGCCAAAAAAAATCTTGACTGTTCCATAAAGAAAGTTCTGTTTATTTCATTATGCTGATTCTCAGTGTGGACTAATATTTTTATTAGAAATTGTTTGACATTTCTTGCACCATAAATTCATTTTTAAGCAAAATAAAACCATTGGAAATGTATGATTTTAGTTCTACGGTAGTGTTGCCCAGAAATCAAAACACTAAGGGTGTAACCCTACTATTAGAAAAGTCAGCAGAAATTTAACATTTTTTTTATGGGAGTTGGATCAGGCCTTCTAAAAATTTTAGAAAATCTTTAGAGACCTTTATTTGTGATTATCTATCCAGACCAAAAATCACCAGTTAAAAAGAATGCGAGCTTCCCAACAACCACATTTATAGAACTATTGTCCTGAGCATCCCAGCTATTTAAGTCTGGTTTCATTGTCCCTCCATAACTTTTGTTCAGACCTAATCTAATTAATACCTGCCTCTGATAGTTACTCACGAGTGAAATTATTTCTATATACACTTAGAGCAGAGGTTGGCAGCATTTTTGGGCAGAGTGCCAGAAACACTTGCATCCTTGACTTGTAAGACGTTGGTGTGTCAGGGGCAGATGGTGAGGGAGCCACAAGGGGCCCAATCCTTGTAGTGGCAGTGCAGCCCCAGCCCCTTCCCTGCCATCTGCCCCGAGGTGTGTGTGCCAAGCAAATTGCCTTTGAGTACCACGTTCTGGCACCTGTGCCGGGGGTTGCCTACCTCTGATTTAGTGGATTATAATGCAAGTTCTCAAAGTACACAGGAGAGACTACTGAAAAAAATTATAAAGAATGATGAAATGGTATTCCAGAAAGTTAGGTTTATACATTAGTGTTTCCCAGGGGTGGACAAAATATGGCATCCACTGATTGTACCCTGTCCAGCCGCACTTCGCTCCCATCCTGGTATGCGGAAGGGCTGTGGCCAAGCCATTGCACAGCATCTGGGCAGGGCTGCTGCTGCCACTGCTACAGCTGTTGGGGGACCTGCTCAGTTTCCCCAGTGTCCAGCAGCTGCTTCTCCTGTCCCTGCTGCAGTGCTCACCCTGGGCACCAGGTGGGGAAGTGGTGGGTGCTGGGGAAGCTCTGGCAGGGGCAGGAAGCATTGGACTGAAAGCATGGAGCTCAGGTGGGCAGGGTGTGGGTGTAAGGGAGGATGAAAGGCTGTGGGAACCCCACCCACACACTCCCCTACCACAGTGCACAACCCCTGCTGGTGGCGGCAGCAGCAGGCAGGAGCACTCATGGCCTGCGCAGGCGCTGCTGCTTGGCAGGGGGTGGCTCCAGCCAGAGCTGCACATGGCAGCAAGTAGCACGGCCTGCCTGGCCTTCTTCACTTGCACGAGGCTCCACATGGCGCACATGCAGCTCCTGGCAGTCATGCATGTCACTAGGGGAAACCCTGCACGATGGAGCCGGCTGCCTTCCCTGCTGCCACGAAAGCAGAGGGCAGGGTTCCCCACCACTTTGGCGCAGTCCTGGCAGCTGCACGTGGTGGGGAAGGAAGCCACCTCCATTGCACAGGGCTTCCCCTGGTGGTGCACGAGTGCCAAGAGCTGCATTTGCACCACAGAGAGCCCCACGTGATAGAGGTAGATCAGGTATGCTGTGTTCCTTGCTGCCATATGCAGCTTTGGCTGGAGCCATGAGCTGCCAGTCAGTAGCACCTGCATAGCACCCTGAGGGCCCACCACCTGCTGCTGCTGGTAGTGGGGGCTGTGCGCCCTGGGGGGGAGTATGTGCAAGGGGTCCCCATGGCCCCTCCACCCTCCCTCACACCCAACCAAATATACACACCCACCCCCAACTACGCCCCACACAAAATACAAGAGTAAGGCTTTATTTTTTATGTATTATGCAGTCACCTCTGTACATACCACACAGACACAAATTGTGACAAAAATACTTTTTGTAATTAAGTTAAAATACTTTATAATAGGTGGTTGGCTTTTAGTATATGATTTGTTGGGGTTTATTTCTGCGCCAGATGGCAACTCCCCTCCCCGAAAATGAGTACTTCCGGGGGCAACGGGGGGCTTCTGGTAGCAAAGGTCAGGGGTTAGGGGGTGAGACTTCCAGTCCCAAGATGGCGACCAGGAGGCCGGGCACCTGCCAAGCAGCAGGGCAACCCTTACTGCCTTTGACAGCTCATGAAAACTCATTAAGCAGCCCCCCAGGTGAAATAGTTGCCCACCCCTGGTGCTCCCTGTCCTGTGGTCTAATGCAGATGGTGCTGGTGTTTTTCAGTGTTTTGAACTGCTACATTGTGTTTGCCCTGTTACAAGCATCAAGAAAGTCTATCCCTTCAAGAAGGAACAGGCAGCCCTGTTGAGAGAGGCCAGCTGCAGGGCACTTGGATAGAGAGGGAGCGAGTGTCCTGCTAAGATCTTTCAAAAGCTCCCAGAAGAGTAAACAGGGGGAGAAAGAAACAAGCTATGGATTCAGCTGCTTGCTACAAGTGGCCAGGTTACTGTGCTGGGAGCCAGAGCCAAAGGTCTTCAAGTGCCTGAGAGCAGGAAGGTTTTGTCTTGTTTATTTGTTGGCTTGTTTGTGGCTTAGGGAGTGAGTTACTGAGAGGACTGGCTGAGGGGCTTCTCAGAGAGCAAAAGCCCATGTGCACAGGCCAGCAAGCTAGATAACCCACTTACACTGTTAGTTTTTAGTATCAGGGAGATGTATAACCGTGAATAGTAGAGGTAGAGACTGAATGTATCCACACTATAAAACAGCCTTTAAGAAATTTAGGTAATTTGATCAGCAGAAAGCAAATGTAGTTCAAGGAAAATTAAACAGGATATGGAAATTGAGTCTGGGAGAAGGGCTAAGTGTATTTTGGTAAATTTAGTTGCGTGTGGATAAGGTAAAAGATTTGACAGATAATATAGAAAAAATTAATGCGTGAGCCCAATCTTGTTTACTGATTAAAAATTGTAAACAAGATAATTACGTAAACAGCGTGCTAAACAGGAAATGTACACATATCTATATATCTATATCTCTATATAGAGCGCACGTACAGTAAATCCTGGATCGTTCGCATCTGGGTGGTTCACAACAGGTTGCCGAATTAAAGACAAGGCTTTCAAATAAAAGCTGTGACAAACAGCTGGAGCACTTCAGCAGCTTTGTACATCTGTTCACTGCTCTATATATCACCAGGTGGTTTGTAAACCCTCACCTTTTGTAGAGGATTAAAAAATTTAATCTAGCATCTGGGTTGCTAGATGCTAATACTTGTCTTGCAGAAATGCTCATATCCACTTAGGGTATGGATGCACAAATAATTCACCACAGCATAAATAAGCACAGGGTTATACAGCATGGCATGTACTCTGTGATAACTGCCTGTGTGCTTAACTTTAAACTGTGGTAAATGAACAGTAAAATGTGGCAGCATACCCCTCACTATGGAGTACCACACAGTCCTACTGTTTTTGTTGTTGACACTTGTGTTTCATTGCAGTAATAGGCCTACCTGTCCTGAAGACAGTAGGAGAATACATCCTTCAGAAGAATTTAACAGAGCTGGGAAAAATCGATTTGCACCATATTCTTCACGCACAATGAATCCTTCCTCATCCATACACCAGAAAGATACTTCAACAGACTATGAAAGAAAACCTTTTCATGGTGAAACTAGCAGAGAAATGGAACAAGGCAAAAGATTACCTGTTGTAACAGTTGATTACAATTATGGTTTGCCATTAGATTATGGACCTGAAGAGGAGGAAGGAATGCATTATGATTTACCTTCAAGAGATCGCTACAGCTGGAACTGAATAAGAAGAAAGTATTTGTTCTGCATAAACTTGTATATGTACCCACTTCCCTTTTTGTGGACCAATATTTTTTCTTTTACAAATTAGAAAAATACAAATTTCCATGTTAAAGAAAACTTGTCTCTATTATAAGACTAGTTTCTACTGATGTGTTTTGAGTCTTTATATTTACAAAATAGTGTGTATTTGTTAAAGTATATTTGGAGACCAGTTCCTCTATACACAAAAAACAGTCCTTGCTTTTAGTGAAATTGGAACCTCATCACCTAAAACAGACACCTCTCTGATTGAATAGTAGTGGTTGTATCTTTTGTTTTAACTTTCTTAAGATGTACATAATTTCAAGATGCGAAACTTGTAATAAAAGCTAAAAAAAAACCCTGCACCATCAGCTAGAATAGAATTTGGGGTTATAGGAAAAAAACCATGAAAATAAATAAAACAGAAAGCAATTTCAACTTGATTCAATTTTTGGTGCTAGAAGCTTGAAGTTAATTCTAACCGGTAACAGAAAATGAGTATCAGCGTCATGAAACCTTTCACCAACCAAGTAAATTAATTTTAACGCTAGAGGATATTTTTTGGGGGGTAATTTTTATCAGTTTAAGCAGAAGTTTGTAATGTATGAACATTCAATAGACTGCACCCTATTCATAGTTTTGAGTTCCATTTCAGCAAAATTTAAAGCACCATGGGATTTCCCACTTCCCCTCTTCGTTTCTTCTGCCAAACTTCTTCAGCACTGCACTTTTTCAATTTGAATTTCTGTACCTCCATCTGAGTTAGCTGCCTTAGGATCACTATTTTTAACAGAAAGCTTTTAAGTGCAAGAACTTTCTCTCGGACATGTAAGAAATTTGAATTGGATTTGCAGTAATCCATATCTTTTGACTTTGCTCTTAGGGCAGTTTTAGAATTAATTGGCTTGGGAATCTGATTTATTTTTTGTATGCCCTGCAAATTAGGCATGTGTCAGTATATAGCCCAACACAGGTACATTTTACTATTGTCTTTTGAATAATAATCCATGGTACACATCCTCACTGTGGGTGTACATCTGCCTTTGAGCACTTATCGTCTTGTCTTAACAGTAGCCCTATGCCAGGGAAATAAAAGGTGTAATGCATATTGCCTATTCCTTAATTTTCAACCACCCTGGCTAGGGACAGAACACTGTTTTTTGCTCATGCTGACAGCCTACATGCTTGCTGTAAATGCCTTCATTCAAAATGATGCTTCTCTTCATTGATATTGTTCTCAATATTTTCTTTCTTTGAAAAAGAAGATCCTTTCTTAGCAGTTTTCCCATTTGTTACTGTCTGGTACCCTTAGCATCCCTCTGCCCAAAATTTAACTTTTTTCTTTGCCACATATACCTCCATTTTGGGGGCTTCATTCTTGCAGGCTATTCCTGAATTCTTTCCCCCTTCTTTGGATAGAGAGGTTAGGAGTTTTATTAGTTTTGGAGTGTGCTTGTTAGGGTTTCTCCCTGCTTTCTGAGTCTGAAATTTTGCCTGCTTTGCCAAAGCACTATGCCCACATCCAGTAAGTACACCAGATGTCTGAACTGCTTTAGTAGTTCATACTCCTAGGAAATGTTTGATTTGATATGTAGGTTTCTTGTTATTCTAGAACATAAAAAGCCTGCAAAACACATCTCTGGATTTATTTCATGGATAAATCCATGAAATCTACCTCCAACCCAAGGATGAGACACTTAGATCGGCTCCCTGGGCATGTCTAGACAAGCCCAGATGTTTGCTTCCCCAGGGACAAGTAGCAGAGGCACATACCTTGTGACGCTGCTGCTTGTCCCAAGGGGACGCCCATGCCATCCACACTAGTGTGTGACATGTTACTGAGTGGGGTAGCAGAGGCAGGGGCCAGCAATTATGCTGGCCCCAGCAGCTTTACCTAGGGGCCTCCTGGGGCTGTAGTCGTGGTAGGAAGCCTGGCTGATAGCCAGAGCATGGTCCTGGCTGGCCAGGCTCAGGTTTTGGGCGGTACACATTGCCGCCACATGTACCAACCCATTTTTTTCCGTCATAGGTTTTTTTGAGGTAGCAGCAAGGTAGCGCAGGGAATACCTGCATGTACTGTGTGTGGTGCCACAGATGGGTCTGCAGCACCACATACCATATTCCCACGTTCATCTGGACACGGCCCCTATGTCCCTCAGCAGTGCTTATTAGGGGGGGGTGTGAAATGGGCCCTATTCAATTTGCATACAGCCTGAATCAGGGACAGTGATTAGATTTGTTGATGTAAATCACTGTCCCCGATTCAGTTGGGCCGAATCTGAAGTTTTGGTGCTGATTCAGCCATAGATGCAGCTTTAAATGTTTTTTTCTACATATCTCGAGGTACTATGTGCAGCTTATGAATGCTGCAATGCTGGGGCAGATGGAGTGTCCCACAGTAGTGCACGGGGGTGGGGGCCGCATGCTCAGTGAGAAACCCAGAAGTGGACTGGAACTACTTCTGGTCCACTTCCAGATCTGCCAGGGAGCATGCTGGGGGGGCCCCCTGGTGCCCCCTTGGTTCAGCAATCAAATCAATTTGGAGAGATTAAAGGGTCTCCTGATTTGATTGGATTCGGTGACCAAACCCCTGAATCCAAGCCAAATCTCTGCCAAATCAAATTAGCTACTGAAGCTTTGCACAGCCCTATGGCTTATCATGGATCCCTTAATCTCCTCAGCTTTGAAATGTCTTGCAATGGGCTGTGACTCAGACTGGCAACTAAGGGAGGTCTGCAGACCAGGTTCTCTTGGGGAATTATGCTTCACCATTTAAGTGTTAGACTTTACAACTCTTAAGGAAACTGTTGAAGTTCAAAAAGGCTTTGATGCTGTCTTCCAGCACCATTGATGGCCCAGTATTTTAAAAAATTCAAGGGCAGATGGCCTAGGTACCCCTCCAAATCCCTTCAGTCATGTAGCCTGGTGGTTCTGACTTTCACTCTCATGTCCAAATTGGATATGAAGGGAATTTCCACTCTTACTCCCCACCATCATCATATTCTCTGTCATCTGCAATATCCAGCAGTACAAAGAGAGTGACTGTGTATTGCTTGCAGCAATAATACTCTTAATCTTGGCCAATCCTAATGCACCTTTCTTCTGGGGCCCAGTATTAGAAGCAGTTCTCTGCTAGTTATTATGGCATCACCAATAGAGGTTGGCTCATTATTTTTCCTCTGTGGTTTATAGTCTAAACATAATTTGTCACTGTTTATAGCTCTTCTTAAAGACTTGCAAGTTTCTCAAAGGGGCTATTGTGGCCTTCCTAAGTAAGGCGTGAAGGGGTAGTCATGGTTTTCCTAGTTACCAACCTGTGGCCATGGGGTTCCTATTCACTACAGCAGTGCGAAATTTCACCGGCTGTTTCGATTCAACACTGTTTCAACTCATTTTGAGCTCAAAACAGTGAAATTTGAATTGAAACAAAGGGCTTCGAAACAAAATGAGGCTAGTCAAAAGGTTTCAAGTTTCAAAGCAGTCAGGTGGTGGGAGAAGGGAGAACCAGGGCTGCACTCCCAGTAGCTCCGCAGCCCCATGTGGCTCAGCTGGGAGCGCAGCCCTGGCTCTCCCCACCTCCCACAGCCGGGCTGTAGGAAGCTGATCACAGAGCAGGGGAAGGGACCTGAGCCCAAGCGCAGTTCCCCTCCCCAGTGCTGCAATTGGGCTGGGGAAGGCAACTCAGCCCACCTGAACTGAGTTCCCCTCCTGAGCACTAGATCTTGCCTCTGTGGGGGGGGGGGACTCAGCTCACCTGGGCTGAGTTCCTTTCCTCAACCTGATTGTAGTGCTGGAGAGGGAAACTGAGTGATTGGGCTCAGTTCCCTTCCCCTGTTCCCCGGTCCCAGGCAGCAGCACCCAGCTTCCCTCCCTTGTCTGGCAGGCAGATTGGGGGCTCTCAGACCCGGGAGGAATGGCACAGCCCTCCAGGGGTTGCAAGCCCCCAATCTGCCTGCCAGATGAGAGAGGCTGTTTTGAGCTTCCCCATTAGAGCGTATGGGCAAAACATCGAAATAGCATCACTGTTTCGACTAAACGAAACAGAACAGAAATGAAATTCAAAACAAAACGCTGTTCGGTCGAAACTCAAGTCGAAATGGAACGGTGCTGTTTTGCAGAGCCCTACTATTCACCCCTTCCATTGTGGCCATGTTCAGCCTACACCTGAGTTTGAGGCTAGGTCTGTGTATGTGGTGTTTGGTCATTGTCTTCCAGTTACTTCTGGGTCAGCATTCTGTCCATTTCCCAGATATTAAGAGGACTGTGTGGATCCAGGTTGAAGGATCCACCCTAACATCTGCAGAAGCCCAGCCAATTTTCATCTCTTTCTTTTCCCCTCTCCTCCCTCCCCGTCCCCTTTCCGACACATAAAACCACTTTTCTCTCTCTCTCTCACTACAGCAAGGGTGTCGAGCTCACCCTAGGCCAAAACCAGAGCACAAAGCCTCCTCCTGGGCTGGAGCAATGGGGCTAGCAGGGGGCTGCCACCAATGGCAATGTCCATCAAGGTCCAGGGACCTCAAATTCTGTGGTAGACTATGATGCCCAGCTTCTGGTAGCCTGCCCACCTACTGCACTAGATGACTTCAGGGGAGTCGAGGACCTAATGTGACATGTGGCTCAGGTCCTCCAAACGTCAGAGGGGTTAGATAACATCATCTAGCATTCTGGCCCAAAAAATGTGCTTTAGCCCATGGCCATAACTGTTGTTGATATTCCTTGTTGTATGGCTCAGGCTTTCCTAATGAGGTCCAAAATGCTGTGGTGGACTTTCTATTTAAAAGTTCCAAATCTTCAACATGCAAACCATTAAAGCACTGCAGCTTTTAAGGACCTTGAGTCTACCCTGCTAGCTCCAGGAAATTGAGGTACCATCCATGTTCTGATCCCCTCCTCTATTAATATACTGTTTCTTGGATCTGCCCAAAAACACATTAATACTATAAAGTGGAAACATTTCTCCACTTTATGGTACTGTATTGTCTACCCCAAAGTATGCATCAGGCAACGAAGTATTACTTTCATGTGACTAAGTCTTCCTCCAGTGCTGCCCTGCTCTCTCCTTTTGACAAATACCCAACCCATTTCTATTTTCCAATCAGACCCAAATTACCTCAGAGTTCTTGCTGCAACCCTGGCTTTCTACCATTCAGTTCTGTTCAGAATCTGTTCCAGATTTCTTAACCGTTTCCCTTTCTGGGTTCTTTCCTATGAGATTTTGCTCCAGCAGGAAAGACTCTTCCTGTTACTTCTGAGTAGGGCAGCAGAAAAAGCTCTGTTGCATCTCAGGAAGGGAACTCCATACCCTTTGCTTCCTGAATTCAAAGAGTAAGGAAGACTGGATTGGTT